TTGCTGTCCTTGTTTCCTGAATGCTCTTTGGATCTTTACCCGAGATTCAAATCTCAGCTCAAATGCCATCTCCAAGGAGAAATGTTCCCTCACTAGTTACCTGAGCATTTCACACTGCTCTTTAAACCTGAGTTACCCCCTATATTTTACCCAGTTTTATTTTATTCATAGCCCTTAACATGAGCTGAAGTTCTCATTTAATTTCTTGTTTACCATCTGTCTCCCCTACTCGAATGTAAGAGCCAGGCAGAGTAGGCACTCAATACATATGTATTGGTTGACTGACTGAATAAGTGGTTTCTACCAGTTTTCTAGAGATTTTTGAAATTGGACATCAGCTCCAATATGCTTAGCCAAGAGAGTGGTCCTGCTTGCTCAGAGCTACACTGGATGCCAACTTCTCAGAAGAGGATTTCAGAGGCCTTCAGTAACCTACTTTTATGAGGTATCCAGGCATTTAGCTTTTCCTAACACCTGTGCAAGGGGAGCAGGTGGGAAGTTCTTGGGGCTTTCTAACCAAAAAGCCCCTTTTCAGCTCTTGACTCCAGGAAATATCTCAGGCTGAGCTGGGGAAGGAAACTTTTTCCAGTAATAAACAGCTTCTTGGTGCCAGTCTGAGGAGGGTGCTAATCCTCATTTCCCCCACCTGCGAGGCACATCCACCCAGGGAGCTCTGGGGAGGCCCAGCTCTCAGTTGGCAGTGCCACTCAAGGGCAAATTCTCATTGGGACCTCAGGAAGGGGAATCCTGGGGCCTCCAAGTAGTGGGTTCTAGGCCTGGAGCCAGCGCGGGGGGCACACATTTTGCATTTGTCTGTGTTCACACCTTCTCTGGGCAGCCCCCTTTTAAGACCCCCGCCCATTATAAAAATAATACACGCTTGGGGTGCCTGGCTGGCTCAGTCAGAAAAGCATGCAACTTTTAATCTCGGGGTTGTGTGCTCGAGCCCCATGTTGGGTGTAGGGATTACTTAACAGTACATTATTTAGGGGAGCCTGGGTGGCTCAGTCGGTTAAGCGCCCGACTCTTGATTTCGGCTCAGGTCATGATCTCACGGTTCATGGGATCGAGCCCTGCATCAGGCTCTGCGCTGACTGCACAGAGCCTGCTTGGGATTTTCTCTCTGTCTGTCCCTCCTGCTCATGTGCGTGTGCGCTCTCTCAAAAACAGACTTAAAAAAAAAAAACTGCATTAATTAATTAATCATAACAACAGAATTCCTGTTACCCAGTAATTCTATTTCTGGTATATACCTAAAAGAACTGGGGCACGTGGGTGGCTCAGTTGGTTAAGCGTCTGACTTCCACTCACGTCATGATCTCGTGGCTCATGAGTTCCAGCCCCGCATCGGGCTCTGTGCTGACAGCTGAGAACCTGGAGCCTACTTTGGATTCTGTATCTCCCTCTCTCTCTGTTCCTTCCCCGCTCGCAATCTGTCTCTCTCTCAAATATAAATAAAAAATTTTTTAAAAAGAATTAAAAGCAAGGTCTTGGAAGATATTTTTGTACATCCACGGTCATAGCAGCATTATTCAAAATAGTAAAAACATTGAAACCCAAGTGTCTACTGATGGATGAAGGGATAAGCAAAATATGGTATATGTATATATATGATGAAATATTATTCAGCGTGAAAAAGGACATTCAGCGAAATGCTACAACATGGATAAACTTTGAGAACATTATGTTAAGTGAAATAAGCCAGCCACAAAAAAAACAAATACTATATAATTCTACTTATATGAGGTACTTAGTCAAAATCATAGGGACAGAAATTATAATGGTGGTTGTCAGAGGCTGGGGAAAGGGAGAATGGGGAGCTATTTAATAGGTACAGTTTCAGTTTTACAAGATGAGGACAGTTCTGGGGATGGACATGTGAGTATATTTAATATCCTGTACACCTAAAAATGGTTAAGATGGTAAATTTTGTCATGTGTATTTTATTTTTATTTTTTGACAGAGAGAGCATGAGCAGAGGAGAGGAGCAGAGAGAGAATCTCAAGCAGGCTCTACACTCTGCACGGAGCCCAACTCAGGACTCAATCCCACGACCCTGGGATCACGACTTAAGCTGAAATCAAGAGTCAGATGCTCATCCAACTGAGCCACCCAGGCAACACCCTTTTTTTAAACACGAGAAAACCAAATTTATTTTATTTTTTTAATGCTTATTTAGTTTGAGAGAGAGAGTGCGAGCAGGGGAGAGGCAGAGAGAGAGAATCCCAAGCAGGCTCCACACCGTCAGCACAGAGCCCGATGCTGGGCTCGAACTTACAAACCGTGAGATCATGACCTGAGTGGAAATCAAGAGTCAGACACTTGACCGACTGAGCCACCCAGGCGCCCTTATTTTATTTTAAAGTTTTATTTATTCAGGTCATCTCTATACCATCATGGGGCTCAAACTCACAACCCCAAGATCAAAAGTCACAGACTCTTCTGATAGCCAGCCAAGTGCCCTAGAAACCATTTAAAAGCGTGCATATGTACATAGGTAATCAGATACGGAAATTCTCTGGTGTTGCTAATCTTTTTCATCTTTGTCGATTTGGTAGTCAAGAAATAGCATTCCATTTTATTAGTGAAACTGGGCATTTTTTCATGTTTGTAGCCACTTTTATTTCTTGTACTAACTTCTGAGTTATTTACCTTTTTCTTAGTAACTTGGAAGACTGCTTCATGTATTAGTGAGGTTGGTACTTTGCCATTATGTGTTGGGTATTTCAGTTAAAACAAGGTTTTCAACAACTGCATATTTCACCTCAACAGTAATTCTTATTTAGGATATTTTGTTTTCACTTTTCCCATTACAAAAAAAACACCATGATGAACATCCCTTATGGATACCCATATTTTTTTAGGAAAATTTGCCAGAAGTGGGGTTTCTTGGGTCAAAGATATGCACATTAAAGATTTTAATACATAGGTACAAAATATCCTTCAGGAAAATGGTGCCACTGCACATGCACTTTCTTACATACAAGTTCCATATGTATTTGATACAAAATGGCATTTACAAGGGGCACCTGGGTGGCTCAGTCGGGTAAGTGCCCCACTCTTGATTTCAGCTCAGGTCACAATCTTGCATTTCGTGAGTTTGAGCTCCACGTCAAGCTCCTCGACAACAGTGCGGAGTCTGTTGGGATTCTGTCTCCCCTCCCCCCCTTCTTTGCCCTTCCCTCTCTCTCTCTCAAAATAAATATGCTTAAAAAGTGGCATTTACAATATCTCTTGTAGTTCAAGCCTGTTAGCCACCACATGCCTGGTTGCACCTACCACAGTGCCTCACACACAGTGGCCACCCAAATATTTGTTGAAATGAATGTCTGTACTATGTTCCTTGAACCCCTTCCTCCCATCCCTACTGCTCCATAGCCTGCCAGCAGAATCTTCTGGTTCTCCAGGTCCTTAAGCATCCCCCTATGTCTCTCTGCCAGCAGTTGTGTCCATGAGCCAGGATCTGTGACTGTTAACTACATTTAAATGTTTCTTTGAGAGAGCGAGAGAAGAGAGAGGGGGAGGGCAGAGAGAGGGAGAGAATCCTAAGCAGGCTGTCAGCACAGAGCCCAACACGGGGCTCAATCTCATGAACCGTGAGATCATGACCTGAGCCAAATTCAAGAGTTGGACGCTTAACCGACTGAGCCACCCAGGCGCCCCTTAATCTGCATTTAACAACTCATTTAATACTCACAAAGAACCCACACAGAAGGTACTTCCATGAATCCCATATTACAGACCAGGAAACTGAAGCTCAAAGAGGTCAGGTGCCTTGCCCTTGGTTCACACAGCTAGAACTGGTAGAGTGAGGATTCAAACCTATCAAGGAAGCACCACGATAAACCAAACTCCATAGAGAGGGGAACTCTGGCAGGAAGGTCAGAGTTCTGGTCCAACTTCAGCATCAGAAGATGGGCTGTGGCCCAGAGAGGTATGCCAACTTGTCCAAAGACACTCAGCAAATTAAAGGCAGAATGGAGAGACCCAGGGGCAGGGAATGGCCCCAAACCCTCAGGGCAGGGTTTTTTCCTACAGCTGAATCCACTGCCTTCCCTATGGTTAAGCCAGTCAGTTCACTCCCATGAGATTTTAGAATGGAATTTTAAATCTTAAATAGAATTTAAAATTTTAATTTTGGGGGTGCCTGGGTGGCTCAGTCGGTTAAGTGCCTGACTCTTGGTTTCGGCTCAGGTCATGATCTCACGGTTCATGAGTTCAAGCCCTGCAAGGGGCTTGCTGCTGTCAGCACAGAGACCACTTTGGATCCCCTGTATCCCTCTCTTTCTGCACCTTCCCCGCTCATGTGCTCTCTGAAAAATGAATAAACATTTAAAAAATAAACATTTTTTATTATTTTTTAAATGTTTATTCATTTTTGAGAGACAGAGACAGAATGTGAGTGGGGAAGGGGCAGAGAGGGAGACACAGAATCCGAAGCAGGCTCCAGACTCTGAGCAGTCACCATAAGAGCCTGACATAGGGCTCAAACTCACGAACCACAAGATCATGACCTGAGATCATGACCTCAGATGCTCAACCGACTGAGCCACCTAGGTGCCCCCAAACTAAAATGGAATTACTGGGGCACCTGGCTGACTTTGTTGGTAGAGCATGCAACTCTTTTTTCAAGTTTTATTTATTTAAGTAATCTCTACAACCAACACAGGACTCGAACTCAACTTCTAGATCAAGAGTTGCATGCTCCACCAAATGAGCCAGCCAGGTGCCCCAAGCATGCAACTCTTGAGCTCAGGGTTGTGAATTTGAGCCCCACACTGGATGTAGAGCTTACATTAAAAAAAAAAGAGTGGAATTACTGATTTCGAAGCAAAAGTGGGAAGTAACACCTCCAATTATAGTTCATGTTTTGCAAACCAGAGTTCTTTGGAAGTTAACGGGGAATCCGAAATAATGGAACTTGCCCTTCAGATGTCTGCAGAGGACTCTGGTCTCAATCAATAAGTGAAGATCGGGTAGAATTAACAAAGCACTAGATGCAGAAGCATGTCTCAAGGACAATTTACATTTATTTGCTGATGACTGATTAAACATGCTTCAAACACAGCAGAAGTTAAAGAGTCTGTCAGGTGAAGCCACTTCTTGCCAACAGCTAAAGGTGGTCGGTGAAGAGTAATCTGAGCATCATCTTCAAGCTGAGGCCCTGGTTCTGGGCAAACAGCTGGTGGATGGACCTGGTCCTTTTGGCTTGGGTAGGGGTCTCCAGGGAACTACTTATTCTCATACTTGTGCTTGATGTGTTTCCACAGCTTCTGCATTTTAAAGACAAAAGTCACAAACTTTTAGTTTTGTTTCTCTCATTTTGCAGCTACTCCCACTGTCCTGGTCTCTAAAACAAGCTTGAGAAAAACATATACCACGTCTGGACAGTTGGGGTGGGCAAAACGGAAGCAACGCTAGGCTTGACGCACATTCCCAACACTTGCAAAATGCGTTGATGTTATCAATTGCCATGTAAAATTAAGTGGGAGAGGATGATCCTTCTTTTACAGGAAATTGAGGTAACTGCTCAAAAGTACACAATTAAGGAACAGAGCCCAGAAGATGCCTTATTTCCTTAACTCCCAGGTATTATTCAAGAGATCTAAATGCATAGGCCCAAATAATTCACACTGCATCATTTTTTAGTTCCTTAAACATATTATTCTTGGGTCAGGAGCTAGTTGGATTCTCATTCCTAAAAGCACAGATTGATGTTTTGATAGCATACTTAAATGCTGTTCCCAAACACTGAAAATGGCCAGCAGAACTGCTTTCAGGAGATGGAACAGTGGCAACACTTTCATAGGGACAGAAAGTTGTCCAGGCCACAGGCGGACAGCATTAGTGGGCAGAGTCTTCCTGGGCCGTAAGGTCAGACAGCTCTGAATTAAAACCACAAGTGAATGGTGAAACAGGGCTATCTGTAGGAGACCTTCCCTAGTTTAAGCCACAATTTAATGATATAAAGCATGTACAGCATCTAGCACACTGTTGGCACACAATGAGTCTAAAAGGTGTGGTCATTCCCTACCTACATTCTCCTGAGGAACCTCACAAACGTTATTTTTTTGATGCACCACCTACCAGGTACTGTGACACCTTGCAAGTATCTCACATAATCCTCACAGTAATTCTCTACTGTAGTTACTGTTAGTAACATCTCTATATTACAGATAAAAATGAAGTTCATAGAGGCTAAGAAACTCCCCCAAATGAATGCCACAGTTATCAAGTGACAAGGCCCAGTATTCCCATCCAGGGCTCTGATTTCATATTCCCATCTCCTAACCATTATGACTACCATAATGCCTGCGTGGGAAGCCTTTGGGAAGTGAAGAGTGCTATCTTTCAGATAGGCCTTTTCAAGGCCAGCCACAGTATCTAAGGCGATGTCCTTTTCAGGACACTTGCCCGCTCAAACCTGCCCTTGAAACCCTCAGAGGAGACAATGGGTCCGGGTTCCAGCCCTGACTCACCACTGACTTCTGACTGGGGTAGCCCTAGTAAGACCTCTGCTCTCACTAGGCTTTAGTTTCTACTTCTGCAAATGGACAAATGGGGATGTGATATCAAAACTTACAACCGCCCCCCCCCTCCCCGCCAAAGGATCTACTGACCTCATTTAATGTTTTGGGATTCACATCTGGTGGAGAGAACATACGGCAGTCGACCGACATAAGGCGCCCATGGCTTTCCCCCCTCTTAGTAAGGAAGACTGAGTCCCAACCCATCTCCACTCCCAGTCACCCCTCAGGTGGGCCCAAGGTCAGGAATGGCCCAGTCCCTCACCCCCTCGTTGATGTGTTCGTAGATCGCGTCCGCGCCTTGGTCGAAGGCGCGCTCGAAGAACAAAGCGCCCACGGCGATGGTGAGGGCGAAAGTGGAGGTCCTGCGGAACAACAGGGAGTATAACCTCGCAGTAAACGTCGGGGCCGCCATCTTTCTCCACTGTGGAGCCCGCGCCTGCGCCGCGGCCGACAATGGTCTCCACAAGCCCTCGGCGTGCAACACTTTATGGGATATGTAGTTTTTCTGAATCTCAGTGCTTGTCGTTTTGAACAACAGAGGTAAGTGATGGCTTGCGGGGGAGAAAAGTCTCATAGGATTCAGATTAGGACAGCCCAAATAGTGCGGTAAGATTTTTTTACCCATTTTTTCTCTTCAATAATCTCTTGCTGATTGAATACCTCGAACTACAACACCCAGAAGCTTTCGCGCTTCCGTTACCTCTCCCTCCACCAGCGGTGTCTCAGCTATGATTCCAAAGGTTTCTGGGAAGGGCAGGCTGGTACTCAAGGAAGGACTACGAATCCCAGCAAGCAGTTCGAGACTCGAAGTCACAGGAGGAGGAGGAGCTCGGAGCCGTCGGGCCCTGCGGAGCCAGGTACCCTCTTTGGCAGTACGTCGAGGGGCGAGTCTTAAGTCTTCTTTACCCCACGGGAGGACGTGGGCTCTTCTTTCTAAGTCCCTGCCCTCCGCAGTGGGCCGCACCACTTAACGGAATGGGGAGTGAATAAAAGGGCCAGAGGGCTTCGCTGCCCAGGTACCTGGCTCATCTCAGTCTGTCACCTTTGTTAGCCCCGTGTCTAGGCCTACAGTTGGAGTCCTTGGCAAAAGTTGGGTCCTGGGGCTTGGATTCCTTTACCCGGCCTCCGGGGAAGGGGCGGTTCTGCATATGCTTCCTGTTCCCCTCAAGCCCGGTAGAACCCTGGCCTGGAAAGGGGAGGTATGGAGACCACTTATTACTTCTTGGGAATAGAAATAGCAGGGGCTTTGGAGTGCCCTTCGACTGATGTTTTGTGAGCGCTGCCCTAGGCCATGTGCCGGGGACTTAACGGGTGAATAAGTCCCTGCTCTCCTGGAGGGCTTGTGTGTGGACAGATGGGGAGGTGCGGTAACCACAAACAAGTAATACTTTAAAAAGCAAAAGACAGGTTGATTGAGGAGAGTCTGGTGGTACTATTTTAACCAGGGTGCCTAGGGTGACACTTAACCAGGGACCTGAATGAATAGAAGTCCCATCAAACAGGAAAAGGTTGGTGCGAAGGACTTGAGGCTGCAGCAGTCCTGGAGTACTTGAGGGAAAGCAGTAGGGCGGACTGTGAAGAGGTGGGCTTGGGTCAGCTCATATGTGTCCTTCTAACCCATAGTAAGTAGTCTTATTTCTCTTTCTAATTGCTCTAGGAAGCCACTGAAGGGTTTTAAGCTGGGATGTGACTTGATCCAATTTACATTTTAATGTCATCATTCTGGCTGCTCTTTGGAGAGCACATAGAAGAGGGGAAGTTACTGGGTTGGGTCAGTTGGTGTTATGCCCAGAATTCATGATCCCCAAAGACCACTAGGGAGCCGAGTCCGATGCAAAAGCAAAGAGCCTTTATTCGAGCTAGCTCGAGCTCAATCCCCTACCTGCACCGACGCAGCGGTGAGATACCAGGGAAAGAGGGCGAGTTTCAAAAGGACAAAGGTTTTATTGGGGCCTGAGGGCAGTTGGTGAGGTAATGGCTATGGCCTCAGCCAATTGGCTGGGGAAGGGTCCTGGGGAAGGGTCCGAGTCCTGTTAGGCAGGTGAGGGGGGGTTACTCAAGGGGAGGAGGTGTGGTCAAGGTGAAGGACACAGAACAAGATGGAGTCGGCTGGCGTAGGCCCGCCCTTTCATTGGGACAGGATGGTAATTTGGGATATGGATTAGAGTAATGATCAGATCTGGGATGTATTTTGGGAGGTAGGACAGACAGAACAAGCTTTCAGATGCATGTAGGGGCTGCAGGAAAGAGGAATGGAGAATGACATCTCTTAAATTTTGATCTCAACAACTTAAAATCCACAAGGATGACCTTAAATTCTCTTTGGCCATGTTTGGTTTGAGCTGCCCCTTAGTGGAGATGCCAGGAGGCCAAAGGGGATTTGGATCTGAGTTCAAAGGAGAGGCCTAAGCATCAGCATCAGCAGAGGTACTGAAAACCAGGGATTAGAGGCCTGGGTCTGCCTCTGACTTGGAAAAGTAACAGGAATGCCTCACTGGGTATTGGGAAGAAAAACGTGAAAAGCTCCATAGCATGATGAATTAACCTTAATTAGGGTTATTTTCTATTTGAAAAGCATCCTGGTTGCTCCTTGGGGTGGAAAGTTGTGAAGCTTCTAGGAAAGAGTACTTATGTCTTGCTAACAACAAATCTGGCTGGTGGGAAGTTCAGGGGATGGAAGGATTATTTTAAGTGGAATGGGTAGGAAAGACAACAGGGAGTTAAGGTGTGGCTTGTTTTAATTTAATTTACTTTAATTTTATTTTATTGTCTTTTTAGTTAATTCTCATTTTGGAGCAACAGTTTTGAAATACTTAATTTTCTTTAAGCCATTTACTTCAACTTAGAAATTATTTTATACATAACTATAGAAAAATAAGAAAAATGACCTTCACTTTTCCTTTGATGTTTGAACTCAAGTTGAACTGAATTCCTTAAATTCCTTCAAATAGCCCTTTTAACAGCTTAATTACATTCCCTTACACATTTATTTCACTTGTAAATTTAATATGTTTGATTTCCTCTTTAAGTACTTCAGATATATAGCCTAACAAGTATAATTTCCCAAGAATTTCCAAAACATTACCAGAAAATCTAATAAATTAAGCTTACAAACATAATGAATTTCAAGTTCTTATAAACAGTCCAATACTTTTAACAGACTTAGATTCTTTTATGTCACTGGTTCTCAGTCTGGGAAGCTAAAAAAAAAAAATTCAGGTGCCATGTCCGACAAGAAATTAACATATGGGGGGCACCCTTAGTAAGCTTTCACAGCACTCCAGCTGATTCTAATATACAGCCAGTGTTTCCAACCATTGCTAACCTCTCAATTTGAAATCAGAAATCTAATATCACTTACCTAACTATATATTTTAACTTCTTTATTTTTTTAAGTTTTATTTATTTATTTTTGAGGGAGAGAGACAGACACACACACACACACACAAGTCAGGGAGGCAACAGAGAGAGAGAGAGAGAGAGAGAGAGAGAGATAGAGAGAGAGAGAGGAGTGAGAGAGAATCCCAAGCAGACTCCACACTGCCAATGACTGCAATGACTGAGCTGGCCAGGTGCCCCAGTATATTTCTCAATTCTTGACTTCTGTATGTTAAGTTGGAATTGCAATGTTTTTCTGTCATATACTCAACATGTCTAGCTCTTTTCAATGTTATAGATATTTTTACTTTTTTTATTAAAAAAATTTTTTGTAGTGTTTATTTTATTTATTTTGAGAGAGAGAGAACAAGCGAGCAGGGGACGGGCAGAGAGAGAAGGAAAGAGAGGATCCCAAGCAGGCTCTGGACTGTCAGTGCAGAGCCTGATGCAGGGCTCGAACCCATGAACTG